CACCCCGACAGCACCGAGAGTACCACTCACGAAGCTGCTGTGGAGAGAGAGGCTCCCGCCACGGCGGGACACCTAGAGCACCTCCAGAAGCAGCACGCGCAGGCTCAGCACCTCCAGACACAGTACCCTCAGGCTCCAGACATCCAGGCTCAGCACCCCCAGACTCAGCACCTGAGTCGACAGCTACCTCGACCGGCTCGGCAGGGTCTACCTGGGACACACCTGAGGGGGCAGGACCCTGGGGGGGGAGGGGGTCTACGGGGGGAGTACCCCGTGCCAGGAAGAGCGGCGGGGGGGGGGGAGAGGCAGTGCGGTAGGGAAAGAGACGGTAGTACGACATCAACTCGTCAAACGTGACGTCCTGAGAGGATAGAACACGACGCGAGGTGGGGTGGTAGAACCGCCACGCGGGTGCGTCAGGAGGGAAGCCAAGGAAGACACAGGGAACGGCACGGGAGGACAGCTTGTCCGCTGTAGTATCGCGGACAAAAGCTCGAGATCCCCAGACACGGAACGCGGACGCATCGCCAACCTTCCCCGTCCACCGCAGAGTAGGTGTGGTCTCCGGCAAGGAGACACGAGGCTGAAGGTTGATCTGATGCGCAGCGTACTGAACCGCGAACGGCCACAGAAAATGGGGAGTAGCCGCATGGATCATGGACGTACGAGCGACGTCCATGACCATGCCAATGCGGCGCTCAGCAATCCCATTTTGCTGCGGGGAGGCCGGAAGCGTGAACGTCTGGCGGATGCCCTCCGAACGACAGAAGGCTCTCAGGAGGTCGGAGGAAAACTCCCCGCCTCTGTCTGAGTGCAGACGCAGAACAGGAAGGTCTGAGCCGAAACTCTCACTGAGCTGGCGACGAGCACCGTGGATCCAGTCGATCAACACCTCAGGGACCTCACCCTTGCTGCGCAAGGGGAAGACTGTGGTGTAACGCGAGTAGTCGTCAACGACGAGCAGGAAGTAGCGCTCGTGACCCTGTCCTTGGACGCGGGCTGGGCCCCACACGTCCATGTGAAGAGTCTGCAGAGGGGCCTCAGTCGGAGGGAATGAGGAGGAGTGAGGAGCGACGCGCTGCCGGCCCTCGACACAAGGAACACAGGTGGGGGCAGGCCCCGGAGGAAGGGGAGGGAGGGACCTGGGGAGTCCAGAGACAAGAGCACAGGAGGCCATACCTCAAAGACGAGGCAGGGAGGGGTGACCAAGGCGGTGGTGCCAAAGGAGAGTCTCGTGCGCCAGAGGACGACACGAGCAGAGGGCAGACGCAGGACTAGACCTGGACGCGGCAGCAAACACCTGACTAGACGCAGCTACCTGACCAGACGCAGGGACCGGAGGAGGCGCAGTAGTCAGTGTGTACAGACTCGACCTTGGCCGACGAGTGAACGTGGCCAGGTGGCGGCCCGTCCGAGAGCAAGTGCAGTGGGTCACACGCTGGCCGCCAGGGGTGAACTGGTCAACCCACGCGTCCTGGAGGTCAGCTCCACTCACCAAGTTCGTAGAGAACGAGGGGAGGTGGAGTTTCGACAGCAAGCCCGACGGGGCCGCAGGACACGGTAGAACCGTGGAGGAGTGTGCAAGGACTGGGCCCCCGGAGGGGTCAGCAAGGGAGACCGCAACAGGCCGACTGAGCGGCGTGAGCGTGGTGCTGTCTCTAAAGAAAGAGCGCGAAGCACCAGAGTCAAGTGTGAAAGTGTGAAAGGACGCAGTAGGTGCAGTACCAGAGAGAGTAGACGTACCAGCACTTGGAGTAGCAGACGCACCAGCACCTGGAGCAGCAGACGCACTAGCACCTAGAGCAGCAGCCGCACTAGCACCTAGAGCAGCAGCCGCAATGCACGGGTCGGGCGGGACACTCAGGTAACAGTCACCCTCAGCACTATCAGCAAGAGCATACATGGCAGCAAGGATAGCATCAAAATCTAGATCAAAGATAGGCACATTCTGCAGAAGCAGATCATGCCAGCGAGGGAGCTCAACGGCGTCAGGAAACTGGGTACGCCAAGCGTCTGTCAAGCGACCGAAGCAGCGCTGCGTGGTGTGTGGGAGCCCACACACCTCCCCACTACGAGTGCCGGTGCGAAGAACGTAAGTGCAGGGACCTGCACTCCCAGACCTCCCACGCCCAGCGTACCACTCACGAAGCTGCTGAACCGACGGGGTCTCACGGGTGCGTAGCTGCTGCTGGCGCTGGCTGCCACCAAAGCCTCCACGCTGCGCTGCTGCACCTCGCCCAGCACCACCGCCGCCGCCACCTCCACCACCGCTGCCGCTGCCTCCACCACCTCCGCCACCGCCTCCACGACCTCCACCGCCGCCACTGACGCCCCCACTCCCGGTACCACCCCCACCTACACCGCCACCTCCTCCACCGCCTCCACCTCCTCCACTGCTTCCCCCGCCGCCCCCTCCACCACCCTTGTTCCCCTTGCCCTTGCTGTTGCGGCGTCTCCCACTAGGGGCAGACGCAGCTCCGACCTCCTCAGTGCCAACGAGGTCGACAGCAGCAACAGAAGCAACAGAGGGGAGAAGGGGAACAGGGGAACACCCCTCAAAGAAGGGGGTGCGACGGTCGCCGCGAGAAGCACCTACAGCTAAGATACTCTTCTCAGTTGCAGTAAGGCGCTCCTCTAGCAGGTCGACAGTCAGCTCGGTGGGGCAAAGGGAGAGAAAGTGGTCCCTGACTGAAGAGAGGGATTCAGGGAGGCGGGTGACTAGGTAGTAAAGGGTGATGTACATGGGGGGGGGGGGGTTCTTGGCAGAGAACTCAGTGGGAAGGGCAGCGCGGTAGTGGGCGTCACTAGTGCGAAGGTGAGCAACTAGGTCAGCGACTGTGGCAAAGGCGGCAAGGTCAGGGAAAAGGTACAGCAGCATGAGGCGGCTGAGGGCAGCAGTGGCAGGGGAGGAGTAGCGTGCAACTACAGCGTCATACAAAGACTGAGCAGTCTTGTACTGGCCAAAGTGTGCGCGCTCAGCAGGCGGCAGGTGACTACGAACAGCAAGACGAGCAACAGCGTCACGAGTGGTCCACTGCGAGCGAACAGTACTGGCAGCAGGAGCAGTGGAAACACCTGACGTGTGATCGAAAAGGGATACCCCATCCCTAGAATCACACTGAAGAAAGAGCTGTAGGTCGTCAACCCATACGTCAAAATCAACTGCACGTCCCTCAGCATCAAAGGTGAGAACGGTAGGACTAGCCATAGCAGCAGTAGGAGCAGTAGCAAGAGTAGCAGCAGTAGCAGCAGTAGCAGCAATAGCAGCAGGGCAGTGCAAGGCAGTGCTGCTCGGTAGGGCAGTGCGGTTGGGTGGGGGCGGCGCGGCTCGGCTGAGCGGCGCGGCTCGGCTGGGCGGCGCGGCTCGGCTGGGCGGCGCGGCTCGGCTGGGTGGCGCGGCTCGGCTTACCAGAGACGGGTGCAGGGGCGGGCCGGGACTGTAGGGGCCGCGCCAGTAGGGGCCAGGCAGAGGCGCGTCAGCAGGGGCCGGCAGGGGCGCGCCAGCAGGGGCGCGTCAGCAGGGGCCGGCAGAGGCGCGCCAGCAGGGGCCGCGCCAGCAGGGGTCGGCAGGGGCTCGTTAGCAGGCGCCGGCAGGGGCTCTTCAGCAGGGGCCGGCAGGGGCGCGCCAGTAGGGGCGCGTCAGCAGGGGCGCGTCAGTAGGGGCCGGAAGGGGCCGCGAAGAGCCGCCGAAGAGGGCCGCGAAGGGCCATGAGGGGGCCGCGAAGGGCCGCGAAGGGCCGCGAAGGGGCCTCGAAGGGCCGCGCAAGTGGCAGCTAGGGGCCGCGAAGGGCCGCAAAAGGGGGCCGCGAAGGGCCGCGAAGGGGGCCGCGAAGGGCCGTTAAGGGGCCGCAAAGGGCCGCGAGGGGCCGCGAAGGGCCGCGAAAGGGGCCGCGAAGGGCCGCGAAGGGGGCCGCAAAGGGCCGCTAAGGGGCCGCGAAGGCCGCGAGGGGCCGCGAAGGGCCGCGAAGGGCAGGCGCACGGGGCGCTGCTAGGACAAACGCGAAACGCGCTTCGGGCAGGTAAGGAAAAAAAAAAAATCGTAGTGGTGGGCCCTAAGAAACAGTTCCACTAGGGAACCTGCTCTATACCATGTGAGAATAATGAGAGGAATGAGTTGCACTAGGAAACAGGTGGGGTACAAGTAGAAAACACAAAAGTGTTGTACCCTCTAAGGACTACCCCACCACAGGCTAAACAGACTATAGCATATATAAGTTTGACAGAGAGGGACGATGGAGTGGAGAGGGACGCTTGATTGCACGAGGCTGAGGAGGCAGGCAAAGAGACGAGGCGGAGGGACATGGAGTGCAACTCAGCACGGGAAGATGGGTGTAGCAGTGGGGCAAGGATGGTATGGCATGAGGGGGAAAGGAGGGAGAGGAGAGGGAGATTGGGAGACAGGGGGGTGTGATGGACACAGCACTTGCAACCAACGTCGAACGCGTCTCCAGCTCCATCGAATGCTGCCACGTGCAACACCAGTAACAGCAGTGATATCAGTGGCAGCAGTGACATCAGTAACAACAGCAGCGGCGGCGGCAGGAACAGCAGCGGCAGCAGCGACAGATCATGCGAGCCAAGCAAGAGAACACCAAAGCAGGGCAAGGATTCTTGTTAAAAATTGCACATTCTGCTTTTTCAGGAAGCTCATAACAAAGCATATGAGTAAAATCAAGAGCAGCTTAGGAAGTCAGAAAGGTGCTGCGGTGACACCAAACATGGTTGATATGAGATGTCACAACCACAAGGTTTAGGGTTTAGGGTTTAGGGTCAAGGGTAGAAGGGACCAATCACAAATAGGGACCAATCACGAATGGGGACCAATTAGGAATGGGGACCAGACACGAATGGGGACCAATCACGAATGGGGACCGATCACGAATGTGGACTAGTCACAATTGGGGACCAATCATGAATGGGGACCAGTCATGAATGGGGATCAATCACGAATGGGAACCATTCACGAATGGGGACCAGTCACGAATGGGGACCAATCACGAATGGGGACCAATTACGTATCAGTGAAATTCCCTTCCTCACCGCACCTTGCGGCCCCTCGCCTTGCAGTCTGCCTGTTAATCACAAGTGTCCAAGTGAGACACTTCCTATCCAGTCAACACCGTCCCCGTGCCCTACAGCACTGGGCCAGCCGGACCACTGGGCCAGACCACTGGGCCAGACCGCTGGGCCAAAACCAAGTTGAAACAGAAAAAGAGGGTTGCAACTCAAGCACTGTATGTCCATTGAATACACAGACAATAGGCTAGGCGCTACACAGGTCATTCCTCGCCCGAGTCTCCCAGTCCCACCAGTCACAGAGAAGCATGTGCGCTGGTTGACAAAAGAGCGCTCCGCCCCCACCCCCTCCACCTCCACTCGCCCGAACCTCGCCACCCCCGTCATGTTCCACCCTTCCCCCGCCCTCCGCTCCTCCTCCACCCCGCACTCCCTCTCCGCCCCTTCCTCCTCCCCACGCATTGCTTCCCCTCCTGCCTTCGCCCCCTCCTCCCCGCGCATTGCTGCCTCTCCTTCCTTCGCCCCCTCCTCCTCCCCACGCATGGCTGCCTCTCCTCCCTCCGCCCTCCCCTACTCCCCACGAATTGCTTCCTCCTCTTCCTCCGCCCCCTCCTCCTCCCCTCGCATTGCTTCCTCTCCTGCCTTCGCCCCCTCCTCCTCCCCTCGCATTGCTTCCGCTCCTGCCTTCGCCCCCTCCTCTTCCCCTCGAATTGCTTCCTCTCTTCCCTCCGGCCCCTCCTCTTCCCCACGCATTGCTTCCTCTCTTCCCTGTGCCCCCTGCTCTTCCCCTCGCATTGCTTCCTCTCTTCCCTCCGCCCCCTCCTCTTCCCCACGCATTGCTTCCTCTCTTCCCTCCGCCCCCTCCTCCTCACCATGCATTGCTTCCTCTCCTACCCACGTGTCCGCCAGCTCTTTTGTCGCCTCATTCTGTGCCATCCGCGTTACAGAGTCACGGCTTGCCCCTCCATCCTCTGCGGACCCCACCTGCTGCTCCGTTATCAGCAGCCCCGCTGCTCCCTGATCATGCTGCGACTGCTGCCCTCACTGCGATCGGTACAGCTTCACGGGCTGGTAGAAAACTAAAGGTCAGAGCGGAGATTAGGAGGAGAGGAGTGCCGCGCCAGCGGATGCGGATGAAATGAATAGCCGTTTTGTTGGTGGGTGCGGGAAGGGGAAGAAGGAGAAGTGGTTTGAATCTTTGTAGCGCTGATAAACGCATGAAACAAGTTTGTGACTGGTAACACGGTAACACTGCGTCTTGAAAAGCGCGCATCAGAAACCATGCACGAAGGTGTGTAAGCTGGGACAATGTGACATTGGCCGTGGTCCAGTGATGGTTTGACACACCGCCAAAATTGTGAGTACATAATAGAACCTACAGTAAACAATGCCCAAATATTCCAATACTCTGTTCCCCTTTCACATCATGTGTTTTGAGCGTGATGAGTTGCAACGAGGGGTTTTTAAGGACATGAGTACACCTCAGGGCGTGTCATGCATAGTGTTCAGCCCATCATAAATCACTATTCTGGCTGGCATGTGGCGGTTCAAAGCGGTGGGGCAAACATAACTCTACAAAATTTCGAACGGAAAAGGAATGCAAAAACATTTCGGGGGGAGTGTTTGATGTTTTCCCCTACCATCATTGCTCGCGGTTTATCATGTGGAATGCTCAACAGTCGAGGTTTGTTTGAGGAATCATTTAGCTGGCTCGGCAAGGAATGCACCAGCATAAATCTAACATTGCTTGAGCAATATCGAGCAGGCTCGGCAAGGAATGCACCAGCATACACCCAACATTGCTCATCCTCACTAAAGTAGCAGAGAATTAATCATATCATGAAAATCTCTTTAATGGTCAATGATCACAGTACATGTTAAACTATTGAACGAGAATGAATGAACTAGCAAACAGTTGGGTACAAGTACTAACCTTAATTGGGATGTACCCCTTCAGTTGGGTCAATTCACCCAGGTCAGTGCAGGTGTGTCTCTTCTGAAGCTCCGACTTCACAAGAGTCAGTGCCTCAGTGTCAGCAGTGGCAAAGACGAGGTCGTTCACGTAGACAAGGACGTAGAACGGCGGGAACGAGGTGTCGGTGCGTAGAAACAGTGACGGGTCAGCAGTAGCAGGAGCAAACCCAAGAGCCGCAAGTGTCGTCCTCAGTGTGTCGTGCCACTTGCGAGGCACCTGGCGGGGACCGTAGACTGGCCGTCGAAGGCTCCACTGAGGACCTGCAGGAAATGACCCAGTGAAACCAGGTGGGCAACGCAACCAGATCTCCTCGTGCAGGCTGCCCTGCAAGAACGCTATGCTGAAGTCCAGAGAGTGCAACTCGTAGTCACGCTGAGTAGCGACGTGTAGCAACACCCGAAGAGTAGTCATCTTTGGGGTAGGGGAGAAGGTCTGGAAGTAGTCAACTCCCTGTCGCTGACTGAAGCCTCTATCAACGTAACGCGCCTTGAAGGCAGGCGGAGAACCCGGCGGCCGCTTCACCCTGAAGATCCACATGCCATCGACTATGTTCGCCCCAGGTGGGGGAACCTCGTCGACGTAGGTGCCTGTGGACTTCCAGGATGCCATCTCGGCATCCATGGCTGCCTGCCACTGAGAGGAGTAAGGACCCGTAATCGCCTCTACGTAAGAGCGCGGGGTCGGGATGTCTGGAGCATCCGGGTCTCCCTCGGGGGCAAGCAGCATGGAAGCGAAACGAGGTACAGCAGCTGCAAGACACTCAAAGTCCTCCTGCCTGTCCTCAAGGACGTCCGTGCCAAGAGCACACTCACCCCCGACGGACGGAGGACTGGCAGACGCAGACTCAGCAACAAGAGCAGTGGCGTAGTCTAGACGACAGGCAGCAGCAAAGTCAAACAGCTCAGCAACAAGAGCAGACGCAGCAGCAGACTCAAAAGAAGGGTCGGTGACAGCAGTAGCGAGGAGACGAGAGACAGTGGGACTGGCAGCACAAGCTCGGTCAGACTCAGGGTCAGGGACCTCAGGAAGAGAGGACTCAGGAGGAGCAGGCAGGGGAGAGGCCGGCTGTAACGGCGGCTGCGACTGGTCAGGCGGGGGACACTGGAGGGGAGGAGTAAGGCCAGTAGAAGACGGGGTACCAAGAAACCTGCTGAAGCAGGAGAACGAAGTATGGTCGCGGCCGCACAGCGCCACCAGGGTCAAAAGCTCCAGCTCCTCCAGCTCCAGCACCTCCAACACCAGGGCCTCCAGTTCCAGTAGTACCAGACTCCAGAAGGACTCCAGCTCCAGCACCCTCAACACCACCAGTCCCGGCAGCTCCAGTACCTCGGGTACGAGCACCTCCAGGACCAGTGGTCGCAGTACCTCCAGTAACACCAGCTCTAGCAGCAACTCCAGCACCTCCAGCTCCAGCAGCGCCAGCACCTCCAGCTCCAGCTGCGCCAGCACCTCCAGCTCCAGCAGCGCCAGCACCTCCAGCTCCAGAAGCTCCACTTCAAAGGCGCGTACGCCGAACAAACCACTCACGCAACTGCTGCGGAGACAGTCTCGGCGAAGCACCAGCAGAACCTCCAGTCGAAGTAGCACTCTGAGGCTCCGCACCTCCAGACCCCGCACCCTCCAACCCAGCACCCCCAGGCTCAGCACCCCCAGTCGCAACACCCCCAGGCTCAGCACCCCCAGTCGCAACACCCCCAGGCTCAGCACCCCCAGTCTCAACACCCCCAGGCTCAGGTACCCCAGTCTCAGCACCCTTAGACTCCGCACCCCCACGCTCCGCACCCCCAGACGCAGCACCTCGAGCAGCACCTGAGCCAACAGCTACCTGAACAAGCGCAGGACCAGGGAGAGGGTCTACCTGGGATACACCTGAGGGAGCAGGACTCTGGGGCGGGAGGGGGTCTACCGGAGGTGGACCGGGAGCAAGGAAGAGCGGCGGGGGCCGGGGGGGGGGGGGTAGAGCGGTAGGGGAAGAGACGGTAGAAGGGAACCGACTCGTCAAACATGACTTCCTGAGACGGGAGGACTCCGCACAAGGTGGGGTGGTAAAACTGCCAGCCAGGCGCGTCACGGACAAAGCCAAGGAAGACGCAGGGGATAGCACAAGGGGAGATCTTGTCCGCGGACGTATCTCGAACAAAGGTACAAGATCCCCAGACCCGGAACACCGACGCATCGCAGACCTCCCCCGTCCAACGCTGTGTGGGCGAGGTCTCCGCCATGGAGACACGAGGCCAGAGGTTGAGCTGATGCGCAGCGTACTGGACCGCAAACGGCCACACAAAATGGGGAGCAGCCGCATGGATCATGGAGGTACGAGCGACCTCCATGACTAAGCCAATGCAGCGCTCAGCAATCCCATTTTTCTGAGGGGAGTACGGAAGCGTGAACATCTGGAGAATGCCCTCCCCACGAAAAAACTCCCTCAAGAGGTTGGAGGAGAACTCACCACCTCTGTCAGAGTGCAGACGCAGGACAAGAAGGTCCTGGCCGAAGCGCTCGCGTGGCTGAAGACGGACAGTGCGGATCCAAGGGATCAAGACATCAACGACCTGACCCTTGCTGCGCAAGGGGAAGACCGTGGTGTACTGCGTGTAGTCGTCAACGACCAGCAGAAAGTAGCGCTCGCGGCTCTGACCACTGACGCGGGCTGGGCCCCACACGTCCATGTGGAGAGTCTGCAGGGGAGCAGTCGTCGGGGGGAACGAGGAGGAGTGAGGAGCGGCGCCCTGCCGCCCCTCAACGCAAGGGAGGCAAGGCGGGGCAAGCAAGGGCGGCAGGGGAGGCAAAGACCTGGGAAGACCAGAGACAAGGAGACGAGAGTGCATGCCACGAAGACGTGGCAGGGAGGGGTGACCCAAGCGGTGGTGCCAAAGAAGAGTCTGGTGCGACATGAGGCGAAACAAGCAAGAGGCGGCTACCTGACCTGACGCGGACACCTGAGCAGACGCAGCAACCTAAGGAGGCTCGGTAGCCAGCGTGTACAGACCCGACCCTGGCCGACGAGTGAACGTTGCCAGGTGACACCCCGTCCGTGTGCACGTGCAGATCGACACACGCTGACCTTCAGGAGTGGTGGTAGTGACCATCACATCCTGGAGGGCAGCGGTACTCACCAAGTTCGTAGAGAACGAGGGGAGGTGAAGACCTGACAGCGAGCCGGACAGAACCGACGGACACGGGAGGACAGTGGAGGAACGGGCCACGACCGGTCCCCCGGAGGGGTCAGCCAGCCTGACCGGGACAGGTGCAGTAAGAGGAGTGAGGGTGGTACAGCTGGGTGAAGGACGAGGCCGGGCGCGGGCTTGGTACGGGCCAGGCGCGGGCTAGGTACGGGCCGGGCGAGGGCTAGGTACGGGCCGGTCGCGGGCTAGGTACGGGCCGGGCGCGGGCTAGGTACGGGCCGGGCGTGGGCTAGGTACGGGCCGGTCGCGGGCTAGGTACGGACCGGGTGCGGGCTAGGTACTGGCCGGTCGCGGGCTAGGTACGGGCCGGGCGCGGGCTAGGTACGGGCGGGTCGCGGGCTAGGTACGGGCCGAGCGTGGGGCTAAGGGCCGATGGGGCCGGCCGCGGGCTAGGAACGGGGCCGGGCGCGGGGCTAGGGGCCTACGGGCCGCGGGCTAGGGGTCGACGGGCCGCGTAGGCTAGGAGCGACGGGCCTAGGGGGGGTACTAGCAGCGTAGCAGGTGGTGGGCCCAAGGAACCTGCTCTGATTCCAGGTCAAAGTAACAAACGAGAAATAAATAAACTAGCAAGCAGTTGGGTACAAGTACTAACCCTAATTGGGTTGTACCCCTTATGGGCTACCCCACTACAGCCTACACAAATATATAAGCTATAATGTTCTGACAATGTCGAGTTCTGGGAGCGGTGTCACAGAATCTTTGGCAGCGAGTTGCTTCCTACCAAATAAGAATTTATACAGATCGTTAGCGATTCATTCAAACAATACACTAGCGACAACATTTTCTTACCGGTGAGTGATGCAGTGGGTTGAGACCAGATGTGTCAAACATATATGCTTAGTTATATCTAGGCTTAGTTTA